GCCAAGGGCGGGCCCGGGCGCTGCGGGGGCGCCCTCCTCGCGTGGGACACTCTGGCAGGCTGGGGGCTCGTGTGGGTGGGGGCGGAGCCCAGCGCGGTTGTTAGCGGAAACAACGCGGTAATGTCAGGAACGTGAGGGCAGCCACGGGGTGACGGCCAGCGGTGCGGCGAGGACATCCGGGCTGTCATTTGGAATAAGGAGCCCAGCCCCAGCGCGCCCTCTGTGGACGTGGACGCGGCCCCGCGACGCAGGTGGGGCGCCACGTTTCGGAACCGCCGCCGTGGCACAGCCGGCCTCGTACCTACTGTTGAGCCCAGGGCGAGGTCTCTGCTTGTTTCTAACATGAACGGGCTAATGGAAGTGATTCTTAGAAATATATTCTCTACCTCTACTTTTTAATGCCTAAAAAAGTCCAAGACCTGAGACTTCTTTTGGCGTTAGCATACCTTTGCCAATGATGTCACAAACAGGTTTATTCGGGAATCGGTTTGGATCTGGAAGCAGTGGCGCTGGGACGCAGGATGCGATGGCTTTCAGAGCAGCTTGAGTGAAACTCAGAATATATGAGTTCTAGGTTTGAAGAGGAAAAGCGCTGGGGCACCCGGTCCGCTCTCATTGATCGCTGCTTAATTGCTGCTGGTGCCTCGCAGTCTAGACGGTGGGAAGGTGGTGGTCACAGAGGAACAGATGCCGCAGAAGGACGTGACGAGCTATGGATTCTGTCGCTGACACGGGACCCTAAAGCCAGTCTCGCACTGTCTGGATGGAATTCTAAACGAAGTTAATTCTAAACCTACTTTCTTGGCCAGCTTAATATGTGAGGAGGTTAACAAAAACATATTACCATTAACAATAAATCACTTTGCATTATGCAACTTGATAATTCTTTTTTTTTTTTTTTTCCATATTCCTTGCTAGGACCTAAAGTCTCATCCCAATATGCCTTTCTTTTCTCCTTTCTTCTTTCACTTCTCCCAGCTGGTACGGTGGTGCCCAAAGTTAATTCTCTCCGTAATTCTGGTTGCAAACCAAACTGGACAAGAGCCTAATCCAAAAAAAAAAAAAGCCCAATCAAATTTCCCCATAACGTCAACATTGAATCAAAAGTCATGATGTAAAAACTTTATTCCTAAATTATTTTACCTTCTTATTAAGTCTCCTACACTGAGGAGCATCATAGTATCAATGAGAATGACTCAAAAGACAACATTGCCATGGACCCTCTTCATTTGCTTTCCTACGTGAAGGTTTACAAGCATAGCGTGGTTGTTTTTTCCAGTTGTGGCCTTGCAAACGTCACAAAGTGGATAATACTATTTGACTGCTGTTCACAAAGCCAAAAGCAGGAATCTGCAGTGCCACGGGATGGGAGAGGGATACAGGATTACACAGCTGTCTTCTTAGATAAATCTGACCTACTTAGCCTTCTCTGGAGGTATTTTTCTTGCTGATTCATGAGCAACAGGAAAGTTATGGCCCATTAAGCAGTTTCCAGGTTTTGGAGCAAACTTGTTCTCCAAAGAAGATGGCTCCTGTGTGTCTGTGCTGTATTTCCATTATTCCCATTGTCGGTGGGACGGTTGGGGCATATGTGTATTAACCCTGTTGCCTCATTTTACAGAAAAACTGAAGCCCAGAAAGTTTAGGATCTAATTAACAAAATTCTTAGTGATGGTTATGATTTTGAGCATAGTAATTTTTTTTTTTATTTTTATTATAATTCTATTTTGAACATTTATTTAGTGTGTGTGTGGCCAGCTCAGCCCACCAGGGGGCGGGGCTGGCTGGCATGTGGTGCTGGGGGATTGAACCGCGGTCCCTGTGCTTTGTCAAGCTTGGTCCAAGTAGGTGCTTTAGACCACTGAGCCATCCCGGCAGCCCCGAGCATAGTAATTTTTAAATTAGATTCATATGAGCTAAAGTTTTTGTTGGTTGGTTGATTTTTTATGAGCAGGGTGTAGAGTGATATATATATATATATATATATATATATATATTCATTCCAGGACTTAATTTCTAGCACTGAAAAAACCAAAACAGACTCCCTAAATGGTTAAATGTATACTTTTGTATTTTTATGTAATTTTGCTACAGGGTCTCATTACACAGCTCGGACTCTTCCTGTTTTCAGCCTCCCCAGTGTTGGGATTACAGGCATGCATCACCACACCCAGTCTCAGGGGCCCACTCAGCCAGCACGTGGTGCAGGGGACGGAACCCTGGCTCCTGCACTTGCCTAAGCAGGCACTTAAGTCCACTGAGCTATCTCACCAGCCCACCTCTACTTATTTTAAACATGCAAGATGTTAACAATTTTTTTTTTACGTACTTTACCCTTGTTTCTTTTTAAAATGAGTACAGATGACAAGCAAGCAAGTTGATCAATGTGAATCACATCTCAACACATTTTATATAAAACCAGCTGTGGAGTGTTAAACGCCAATTGCCCATCTCTAAATCAGGTTACAAGGTAGCTGTGAAAATTAAATGAGATGGGGCCGGGGAGATGGCTCAGTGGAATAAGCGCTTCCCTAGCAAGCTTAAGGGTCTGAGTTCAATCCCCGGTTCCGCCAAAAAAAAGAAAAAAATGAGATAAGACAGTATATAATTCAATAGATGGTAGATATTACACATTCAATATCTACATTGTGGGATCCCACCAAACCCTTTAATATGGTAAATTTAATATTAATGATTCAAGTACTTGAAAAACTTTTTTCTTTTTCACATCTGTCATTCAGACATGCTAGAAATCAGAATATAGTAATTAATGAAAATATACATGTAGGTGCCGGGGAGATGGCTCAGTGGAATAAGCACATCCTTGGCAAGCGCAAGGGCCTGTGCACAATCCCCAGTTCTGCCAAAAAAAAGAGACAATAAGCATGTAAAATGTATGTGCTAATCCATGTGTCTGTGCATTTTGGGGCTGGCCCAGATGGAAACAAGGAGGCCAAGCGTTTCATGAAGCTACCGCCACCATGGGTGCCGATCCCAGCCCGCTGGCTGCCTGGGAGGAAATGCCTCAAAGGCCGGTGTCTTGGGCAGGGCAGACACCTGCTGATGGCCTTCCTATATTCACGAGCTAGAGACTGCCTCCTACGCTCACAGGGACCCTTCATCCTGTATTATTTTATGAAGCTCCATGAGGTACCATAGGTGAGGATTCTCTCCTTCCTTGGCTCCCTTGCTGTGTTATTTTCCTTTTCTGTAACGGGACTGTCAAGCAATATGGGGAGGAGTAGCACCATTGGCAGTCACGTGTAGTCACCTTTCTTGAAATTTTTTAATCTATACAATAAAACTGCTAAGGACTGGGGAGATAGCTCGGTGGTCTAAGTGCTTGTCTGGCAAGTGCAAGGACCCACGTTTCATCCCTGGTACCACATGCTGTGCTGGCCCCAGCCCCAGAACTCCAAGCAAAATGGGACACCTGTAATCCCAGCACTAGGGAGACTGAGACAGGAGGAACACAACAAGTCTGAGCTATGTAGTACCAAATAAATAAAAATGTTTAAAGGAGCCACATTTTACTATATGTGAATTAAAATTAATTAGGTTAGAATTTTAAAGAAATAGCATTTTTTTGAGAGTCCTCACTGTGTAGTCCAGGCTGGCCTTGACCTTGCTATATATAGTCCAGCTAGCCTGAAACTCTTGGTCTTCCTGTCTCAGCCTTCCAAGCACAAGAAATAATATGAACAAAAGTATGTTTTTTAAGACACAAAAATTTTAAAGGGATACTACCATTGGGTTTATACATAATGACATGGATGTGGTCCTACTAAATGTTTAAATATGATTAAGTCTGGGGACTGTACCACAGTAGTAGCATGTTTGCCAGCATGTATGAGGACCTGGATTCATAAATATGGTTAAATGAACGGTGCATGAATTTAAAAAAGTTATCTTCCCAGCTTCCTTTGCACTGTGGCCTGGCTGTCTTGATAAAGTCCAGTCAGTGAGAGATAAGCAAACTTCTGGATTGACTTCCAGGAAAGCCATTGTTTTCCTGATGAAAAGGAATAGATTTAGTTAGCACGGAGCTTTGGCTCTGTGTCCATCCAGGTGGAACACAGATGTGATGTCCAGAGGTTTGGCAGTTGACTTTTCCTATCATGGAGACAAAATATCCAGTACTCAGAATTTGAAGAGAAAAGGCTTACTGGTTCACAGCTGCAGGGGTCATCAAGCTCTGTGGCACAAACAGCAAAGACAGCAGGGCATGTGGCCAACAAGTAGGAGAGCAAAGGGAGGAGCAGGGACAAGAA